CTAGAAATCGACGAGAGAATTCATTGTTTACTAAAGCTGTTACGCCCTAATTCCAGCTCTATCTAGATTTGTTCTAAACTCTCAACATTCGAAATTCTATGTACTTCGGTAGTACTGTACCAGGGAGGCAATTTCAAAATCATCTTCAGAACTTTGTTCTTAATCCTTTGAAGTTCTTTTTTCCTGGTAGTGCAAGATCTAGACCATATTGGCACAGTATAAAGCAGGACCGGTCTAAAAACTTATTTAAATATTAGAAGTTTATTCTTTAGGCAAAGTATGCATTTTCTGTTTATAAAAGGATACAGACATCTTATATATTTATTACATCAATGTGATCTTTCAACACAACCACTTTCAATAGGATTACAATCTAAATATGTGGACCTTATATCGGCTCTTAATCATGCGAACAGTATAATACAGGTTTTTAAGGAGAGACGAGCTGACGCTGAAGCAAAATTTGCTGAAATTTTTAATGCAACCTCAAAGCTACATATGTCTGTTTTCGAATGCTCAGTTACGACTACATCCACGAGCATCCAAGCAAACAATACGTGCAAATAAATCAGTAGAAACACCAGAGGAATACTATCGAAGAGCAGTTTTCATTCCATGACTCGATGGATTGATCCAAAACATGATGGGACGTTTCACAAAAAATGATGACATCCTTCCGGTGTTCCAAATATTTTTGCCTGGTTTTAGAGATATTGGAGAGTCATCCCAACTTGACAAACTTAACTGTAATCTCTGTGATTTCACCAGCGTGGTTGCCAGAGTTGCGACCTATCACAATCACGATCGCCAAATTTGTTGATGGTAGTAACGCTTTGTACATTCCTATCATTGTGCTCGTCGAAGCTGACCATCCATCAAGTTGACGAAAGAAGTAAAAAGCAACTGGTGAATGTCGTCTTCTGTTGTGATCCATCACCGATCTGGTCATTCCCGACAATCACGACACTTATCTGTGCTCGTTTTGAAGCAGTTGCTGCTTTGCTTGCTTATTTGAGTGTGTTGGTGAGTGAGCCCAACAGCTTCCGTTTCATGTTGCCTGCTTTGTTTGTAACTCACACAGTCGCACCTGCCGAGACGAACTTGGAATGCGTAGGCATTGTTTTCATTTTCTTCTGTCGCTTCGCTTTTTCTCATCATCGTACTGTTGTGCTTTTCATAATCAGCAGCGAGTGTAACGTTTTGCTTGTGAGCAGCGATCATAACTGGTGATTGTTGCCATAGCTCTAACTCTCAGAGCGTGACAAAACGATCTGTCAGCGATAGTCAGTTGATGCGAAGACGAGTGCCACGTGAGTGTCATGATATTTTGCATCACTGGCTGGTTGCAGGTAAAGGTGGAATACGAGCTCTGGTGCCGGACATCCATAAATATTAACAAGAATTTTGAAACATTTGGCTGCTTGATAAATGTGACTCGACGTATTTTCCAACAATCAATGTTTTGTTGAAGATTTTGTTGACACTACCGGTCACTACAGCCAGTGTGGAAAGATCTTTCTCCACATTTAAACGAATTAAAACTAATGGGAAACCAGCGACTTTCGGGCTTGGCTATAATATCAATTAACTGCTTAGAGTAAAGCTAGAAGATTACTTTTGTAATAACCAGGTATATTGTCCAGGATATGGCTCTACGTTGTGTTTAATTTGTTGCTCAGATTTTTGGACAGCAGTTTGGAGATCGGCAACTGATTCAAATGAAGTAAAAGAATACATTTCTCATTCACTATTTATTACCTCTTTCAGGCAGAACCCTGATCGGAAGTCAAATTCAAACTTAATCTAATTGCATTAAATATTTGTACTTATATAGCTAACTGGAACAATACAAAATATCACAGAATAACGATCAATTCAAAACAAAACAAAAATACAGTGATGCTAAAACAAAAACTTAAAAACATACAGAATGATGAAGGCAACAATATTCGCTGTTCGTGTTTCGTGTGGATCAAATTGCTACCACTGCATCGAGGGATGTTTGTTATTTACCGCCTTCATAAATTTAAATGAATTAGGATCCGGTGCCGGTGATTTTACGATTCAACACCATTGAAATCTTAAAATAATTATGTTTTAAAAAATATGTAACAAATTTTTGTCTTTCTTAACAGAATGCAAATATTGATCATCATTACCAACAGAAAACAATTAAAACTACAAATATTTTTCATACAAATAGTTTCATACATTTGTTTAAATTTTCTCATAACTGCGTATTAAAGAGTTTGAAAAATTATTATTTTACATTCTGATGGTTCATTAAAAATTCTGATCAAAGATTAAAATGAATTAACAAAAAAAAAAAAAAAAAGATGATGACACATGATTTTGGACGATTTTGGTTAAGGTAAAAAAAAACAGTGTATCAATCGATGTTCAGTTAGGCGCACATTTTATAAATTATTGAAGTTTTTATGTCATAAAATTAGCTCCCCCCGAAACCAAATGCTGGCTACGGGCCTGGACTGTTCAACAAAATTATTTTTTTTTCAGTTTTTATAACATATTTAAAAAACTATAGGTTTTAGAAGACTATAATGTTCTAGAAATATTTGTATTTTATCACAATACAAAATTTTGTTAAAGACGTCCAAAAGGTATCGATTACACAGACTGATTTATTCACAAATTTAGTAAAAAAAATTACATATTTTGTGCCCTCACAGACAAAAATCCGGCAAAATCCGGCAGGTGAATCTTTAATAGGATGAAAGCTTGTTCAAAAGTGATCTCAAATTCCATTGAAACATTTGTCCCTTTTAGTATCCTCGTTGATTGTTTTGTATTTTTAAAAGGTCGTTCCGTAGTCCAGTGACAGCGCGCATTTGTCAAAGACTGAATCAAAGTAGGCTAAGTGACAATATAACAAAGTTTCTTCACACATTGATCGGTTTTGCAGCATTAAACGCATATCACTTAGAAAATAATCATTTTATAGTGAAGTGAAGGTTATTTTTTCAACATTTCCGTAGCAGATTCCAAAAGTGAGAAAAGCATGTCTTTCAACAATGAAGGTACAACCATGTAGTTAATAAGGTATTCAGTGTTAATTTCCAATTCATGACATAAATGAGTTATCTATGGAAGTTATTTGTTTGTGACAATTTCAAAAATAGTTTAAATTATAAGTTATCAAATAAAATTTCAGTTGAAATCGACAGGCGAAAGCTTTTTGAAACTGTGAAAAGAATTTAAGAGAAACGACATTGATAAATCAAACGTTGTGTCGAGAGAAGTTTTTGACTGTTACGGCATTGAAACATAATCAATGCCGTAAAAGTCAAAAACTTCTCTGGACACAAGTGGCAGCTGAAATCAACCATTTTGTGAAGGCGACATGCAAATATTAAAAAAAATCTGTGGGAAACCCACAACCGGACTATGCTTGAAAGCAGTCGTGGTTATTTCGATAGCCCCTTCAAACTACCACAGAAAGTTGTTGATCGTTTCCCTTGTACTTCTGGATCTTCCCGTCGTGGAAGAAAATCTTTGGCGTTCGAAGAAAGCAGCGAGGTTATTAAGAGACGCAAGACGTCTGCAATGCGGTCTAACTACCCAACAGATGAACTTGTATTTGCAACCCAAATGAAATTACGTGAGGATGGTAAAGAAGATGCAGCGTTCATTGTAAAACAGGCAACACAAACAAGAGCCGTGAAAATGGGTTCGGCTATGCAATCATCCAAAAATGGCTTTGTACCCTATTCGGAGACGGTACCTCTTGCGTTAATATTGGATCTTAGACCAATACGAAAAGCTTCGTAATGGAGCTCTGGATCGGAATGTGCCTTTGTATCCGTCCTACTACAAAGTGCTGCAAGCTAAAAAGTGCTGTTATCCCAATACAGGGTTAGTAGTTTCGGAAACGTCTGCAGAAGTGAAACTAAAGGATCTCTTGGAGCACACGACAATGAGGATTGTTGATGCAAATGCGTGCATGCTGGAAAAGTTTAGTGATGACGAATTGGAGAAAATGACGATTAAGTGGGGATTTGATGGCACAACTGGATTAAGTGAACACAAGCAAGCACTTGGCGATGATGACGGAACTAAATCCGATGCAAATATGTTTGTTACATCCATTGTGCCGATTAAATTGGAATCAAATGGGAACATTTTCTGTTCCTCTTATCAGCAGCCTTAGAGCATCTCGAGATAAGCCGATTAATGACCTCTGTAGCGATGCGAAATACATGCTTGATGTGGAAGAGAAAGATGAAAATGTTTTTGTTAAATCGTTTAATTATAATATAATAATAACTCAAAATTATATATTACTTTCAAGTAGACTACTGTGATTTATGATTATGGCAATTACTCTGATGTCCGTGGTCAAGACCTTTTTGAAATGCAAAATAATCAACGAGGATACTAAAAGGAACAAATGTTTCAATGGAATTTGAGATCACTTTTGAACAAGCTTTCATCCTATTCAAGATTCATCTGCCGGATTTTGCCGGATTTTTGTCTGTGAGGGCACAAAATATGTAAATTGTTTTACTAAATTTATGAATAACTCAGTCTGTGTAATTGATACCTTTTGGACGTCTTGAACAAAGTTTTGTATTGTAATAAAATCAAATATTTGTTGAACATTATAGTCTTCTAAAACCTATAGTTTTTTTTAAATATGTTATAAAAACTGAAAAAAATTAAATTTTGTTGAACAGTCATATTAAACGCTACGTATCTCAAAAACTAAGGAATACAGAGGATTTGTGTGATGAGCAAAGATTTTTATAGTAAAATTATCTACAACTTTGCTGAAGACACCACATACCTATCTTGTAAATGTAAAAAGTTAGATTTTGCAGCGCCGCCTGTGGTGGAGTTCCGAATTAACCTTTCACTAGTCTTTGCGCCTTATTTTATACAAAAACTCTTCTATAGACACCGTAGTGAAAAAATCGACATTGAAGGCGCAAATAAAAAAGTTCGTGATATTGAGCATTCAAACCACTGTGCAGCGCTAGCGTTCAGTTGTAGCCATCGGGTCGAAACTCTCTGACACAGAGTTTCTGCTTTCCAAGTCGCAATAGAATGTCTGCCATGTTATTGTAGTCTCTATCAGCAACATTTTCAAACATCGATACTTCCTCCACGTTAATCTCATCTTCGTCGTCTGAAACTTCCATAGGCTGACAAGGACGATGCTGCTGCAGGCGATTCGCTTCCAAACAGCAGGTGGCACATATTTTGTCTCCGAGATTGGGATCTGTCGCATGTATGATCGATTCAAAATAAGCCACGAGGTTTGGTGTCACTTTGGTAATTTTCGAAGCTTTTTTCCAGTTTATGTGATTAGTTTTTGCAAAAGAGTTAGCATTGTTGCATTGTTGACGGTTACTCCCGCCTTGAGTTGTTACATTCAAATTGTTTTTATGTTACTTCATACGCACGATGATGGTACAGCACGCAACAACCACCCTACTGCCTTCTCTCTGAGATGACCAAGTTGGTCATGACGAGAGGAGCAACACAATAGTTGGGTAAAGAAGAATTGCATTATAACACACCATCGACTGGAAATGCTCTCGCAACGTGGGGCTTTAGGTAGTGATGAAAACGTCGCTAGAACTATTCCACAGCCGCAGTCAGTTTATGAGCAAAAAGAGGGACGCACATTTTTGCCTGTGGATTTGGAGACATACTTCAAGTCCCCGCGTACATCGTACGGGTTAGGCAAAAATGTGCGTCTATCTTTAAAAACTGTCGCATTAATGGCCCTTCGCTCATTTTCAACTTCTATTCAATTTTCATACTGCCGTACTCTAACGGAACTATCCACCTACGCTCTTCTAAAAGATCATTCTCTAGCTAATAAATTATCACACTAAAGCTTCATGTTAGCATTTCCAAACAACCCTCCATAAAAAAAAGTAAGAGGTTGTATCCAAGACTCGACCGTAGATTTGACGTAGGATTACGTGTTCGGTATCAATATTTGGCGACTATGTTAGGGAAACCACTTTTTGCAGGCAATCAGTGATAATTTTGATAACCATTTCAACAGTTGGACATTTGTGTAATTTTCAATAGTGACCTATTGAAAATTGATGAAGTATTGAATTTAGCAGCTTTTAAGAAAAATTACCTATCAATTGGCTTGTTGAGAATTAAAATCCATCCGCTATTGACCCCTGACCATTTTTGGTAACACGGTCGATTTTGTTTTTTTTTTAATTGCATCCCCAATATGTTGCCAAGAGACGTAATCCTTTGTCAAAATGTAAACTTTGCGGGAGACGATGTCATAACACTCAAAAGCAATTTTGTGAAATATGAAGTGAAACAAATCCTCGTTCTGCATGATGATTTTGTTTGATTGTATTTATTTGTAGAGTCGCCGGGAAATACCAGCTGGCAAATTGTTTTTTTTTTTATGATAACTCCTCACTTGAAAACAGGCAAAAACTCACAAACAGGCTGCTTTTTTCATGGTATATAGAGTGCTAATTCAATAATCAATTAATTACCTCAACATTATGCCTCTAATTTTGGCTCATACATAAATTCAGCAACAACTAAATTTTCAAAAGCAACCAAAAATATTCAATAGTACCGTCCCAATGACGCGTTCATCTGGATAAAATTGATAAATAGCAGATTTTTAGCGATGGGCCCAATCTTAGATCCATAGGCCAACATTAGAGCCAATTCCCCAACAAAATTTCTATAATCCATATTAAATTAATCATTTTGTTCGACCATTTTCCACAGAGATGGCGCTGTTCCGCTGGTAGGAAGTGATAAAAATCCCCATATAAAAATTGAGAGAAGTGGGGATAATTTGCTTTCGGTGCATATTCAGGTCAAAAAAAGTGAACGACAACCTAAAGAAATTTATTAGGGACTTTGTCGTTCAGTTTTTTCCCGGGAATTAATGCTAAACAAGCTACAATTAAATAAAAATGATTTTTCCCCATACAATTTTACCTGCTTTACTACCAGTCTTCAGAGAGCCAAAAAGTTTCAAATTTGAGAGAGAAATTCTCTCTCACGAGCTCAATCTCTCAACATGCCATGTATTTTGTTGACACTCGATTTGTGATTTCCCTTTCACAGATTACAAAATAGAGTACCTGACACTACAAAACATGTCTGGTACTTCTATATATGCATTTGCTTTAACATTTGAAGTCCCTCCTTTTTTACATATTCTGCGCAAAAGATACTTTATGCCCCGCCCCATACATAAAATTCGGCGGGAAATTCGGTGAGGGGTGAGCTATTTTGTGTGCAGAATGTGTAAAAAAGGAGGGACTTCGAATAATAATCTAAATGCATATATAGAGGTACCAGACATATTTTGCACTGCAGTGTCCTCTGTGAACAACTATAGGAAAACAGATTGTGTCTAGTTCCCGATAGATGTCACCGTAAACAACAGCTGTGACATCTGATGGAACATGAATGCAGAAGCTTGACAAAATGATTAATTTCCTATGTAAGCGCTAATCGAAACAAACATTTTGACGTCACTACAAGGTTGATTGAGTAAAAAACGAATCGTACAAATCGAAATGAAAGCTGAGGGAAAAACGGATTAATAATTTTGTCAAGCTTCTGCTTTCATGTTCCATCAGATGTCACTGCTGTCGTTGGCGGTGGCATCGATCGGAAACTACACATAATTTGTTTTCCAATAACTGTTCACAGAGGACAGTGCAGTGCAAAACATGTCTGGTACCTCTATATATGCATTTAGATTAACAACTGAAGTCCCTCCTTCTTTACACATTCTGCACTCAAAATAGCTCACCCCTCTCAGGATTTCCTTTCGAATTGTATGAAAGGGGTGGGGCAGAAAGTAGCGTTTGAGCAGAATATGTAAAAAAGGAGGGACTTAGAATGTTAATCTAAATGCGGTACCAGACATGTTTTGTACTGTCAGATAGGGTTCACTACCCCATTTCCGGTTTATTAAGCACAACCCGCACTTAGTCTTTCTTACTCTAGCGCAGTTTAGCACCAAACGGAATGTTATTATTACTGATGGCTTCCAAATTTATTTACCTTTATGTACGTACCGTAAAATTTGATATAGAGAAACAAATTGTTTAGATATTGTTATAAGTCTAACACTGCTTCTTGATGCCAAACTCGGCCTACGGATTCTAAACTCGACCTTTCGCATTGAAACCGCCAATGAATTCACTTCGGCCTATGGGATAAAGAAAAAAAAAATTGATACGGTCGGAGAACTTCTTTTGTTTGTGGGAATTATGGGTGCAAACCTTCATATCACGCGTTTTCATTGACTTTATTCGGTAGCTTATTAACTAAATTATCGTACAAATTTTTGTTAACTAACTAATTGACTTGTTAACTCTGAAATCATGGATTTATTTGAAGTTTTCTGCTCGATAGGCCCAAAATCGGCTATTAGACCGAAGTAGTTCTCTACCCTACTCTATTTTGTAATCTATGAAAGGAAATCACAAATTGGGTGTCATAAAAACATGGCAATTGAGAGATTGAGCTCGTGAGAGCTAATTTTCTCACAAATTTGAATATTTTTTGGTTTTCTGAGGATTGGTAGTAAACCAGGTAAAACTGTATGAAGAAAAATCATTTATATTAAACAGTATTTTGTCCCTGACTAATAAATTTAACTTGTCGTTCACTTTTTTACCTGAATATGCACCTAAAGCAAATTATTTCCACTTCTTTCAAATTCTATATGTGGATTTTTATCACTTCCTACCAGCGGAACAGCTCCGTCTCTGGAAAAAGGGCGGGACGATATGATTAATCTCACCAATACAATCAGGCCTACAATTCCACACCTTCTAAAGACAGGTTGAGCTGGTTGCGGGAACTGATGACCTTGACAAATGTCCAAATAATACTCTTTAACAATTTTGTGCTGGTCCTGAAAAGGACCGTTTAGTCGTGATGGTTGAGTAATGCTGAGCTATTAGGGTGTTCAACATGGATGAGGCTGGCGATCTGTTAATTGTTTGGAGCAAGGTTGACGCGCTAGGCATTGATGACCCACAGCTTCTTACGAGGAAACTGATTTCGATCGCGGTGCGGCTTCTTCTTCCTTCTATGGATGCTCGCTGCTTTCAGGATGCCTTTCGTGGTGTACAGGATAACGATGTTCAACGCCACACGCCGAAAGCACTGTTGCTACTGATGCTGCTGCTGCGGACACCGTCGACCGGACACCACCACACACGGTGATTAAATGAGCACCGTTTAGTGAGGCAGGATCGAATTCGATTTTTAAATCTGTGTTAGGGAATGCGCTGTTTGCAGGTAATCGGTGATAATTTTTATCACCATTGCAACAGGTGGACATTGTGTATTTTTCAATAGTGACTTATTGAAAATTAATAAAGTGTTCATTGTAGCAATTTGCCAGCTAAATTTCCAATCGTTTGGCTTGCTTAGAATTAAAATCCATCTGCTATTGACAGAGTTATATGCATGTAATCAACACCTGACCTCTTTTCGTAATGCGGTCGAATTTGATTTTCTGAAATTGTACCCCCAATATGTTGCCGAAAGACGTAATCCTACGTCAAAAGGTTCAGATGCAGTCGATTTTGATTGCATTGGCAAGTCTTTTCGTGGCCAATAGTCAGGTTCAGCGCTGCAACTCAACGATGAGACGAATGATGGGATGTCGAGGGTCCCGGGTTGGTTCTACTTCGCGTCGCAATAGCTTGTTAGCGGCAAAGAACAGTGTCGTAGAACTAGATAGAATAAGACGCAGCTCTCACAGGACTTCTTCTGTGTTAGTGAACTCGCGGAAGATCTAGAAATCGTATCCTGGGAATGGGTTTGACTTATCAGCAACTGATTATAGAAAAAACCAAACGTCACGTTCGATCACACGCACTGCCTACTCTCACATTTAATATACTTTCTAAATAATAAAAACTGATTTTTGGATACCAAATGAAGACCTGTGTGGTAATGTTTTGGTATAACCATAAACTTTGGAAAAATACTCCTTTACTGCGTAGCTACTCAGATGTGCTGTCGTGCCCGTGTTTTTTAAGTTAGAGGAGCGGAGTGACGGGCAAGCGTCTTGTAAAGCTTTCAAATGTCCTTTAAAATCTTCTGAATATGCTTTTTTGGAAGCTTCTTTTAGAATTTCGTTTAGAGATTATTTTAGAAGCTTATCCTACACACTTACCCGTCGCTCCGCTCCTCTGACTGATAAAGAAACATGGATAGGACAGTATTTCTGAATAGCTACGC